AATAATATAATCTCATTTAGAGTTATTTTGGGTGTCTATAATGGAATTGCATTCTACGAGGTAGAAGATAAGAGTCAATTGATATAATGAATTCAGAGCTCCACAAATGTTGACTCTCTGTCCATCTTTCAGGCTACAGACTTAATTAGGAACAAGACTAAGTTTTTTCCTTCAAGACCTGTTCTCTTTGCAAACTATGTGCTGTTGTGAAACTTCACTCATTACTACTGCCCCAGGCACAAAGTGACTTGCACTGACTGAGTATGAAGGTTTAACCATGTATGCCCAAGGGGAAAAATGCTCACTCACAAGTGGAGAGAGTTTTAAGAGGCTGAAACAAAACACCATGCCAGCCATTTACCCTTCAGAGAAGCTCACATTTGTTTCAAATGCCTCTCAGGCATTTTTAAACTCTAGGTCATGATGGTGACTATAGTCTGACTCTTCCTAAACAGTGCCTGACTGTGACTAAGAGGAAGGATATTTCCCTTCCTGAGCTTTTACACTTTACATCTCAAGCATAATGATTTTTATGACGAAATGGTTTTAAGAAGATTGAAGATATGGATCTTATTTAATATGTTTACACCCTCTTCTTGCCCCCTCTGCATACCAAATTGCATAGAATATTAATCTCAGGGGAGGTACTTTCATCTGGCTCAACTTCCAGTAAGCGTACTAGATAAGTCAAGACTTTACCATTAAAACAATGCTTTAAGAGCTTTACTGAATTAAGAGCTTTGCAATCAACACACCGCTGGCTATACTTAAACTGAAGAACACCTCTAATCTCTCACAACAAAGAGGAATAGATTGGTATCAGCAACAGTAGTGTCATTTAAGAACTGTTCTGACACTCATCTTGACAGTGACTGCTTCTTATTCCCTTGATCATATCTCTTATCTTTTCTATATTGTCCTTCCCTCTTATAAAGTGCTGATGATACTTGCAGAACAGACATATGTTGCACTACTGATCAATTTGAACAACTAATTTTCTGATGCAGTCAAAAGAAATAGGGAAATAAAAGCACCTGCTCTTACAGACGCTGGCATGGGGGACTGACAGTCCACAGACAAGCCATAGGCACGGGGGACTGACAGTCCACAGACAAGCTGTAGCCCATACTTTAATTTTCATATACTCTTTGATTTCATTTCATAAGGTCCAGAATACATTTTCTTTTTTAATTCTGATTAGATACCACTATGGTGAAACTCATCCTAATTGTTCCAAAAACTAATCTGGGCCACAGCAAAACCCACAACCATTCTGTGTTAGTGCTGGAAGTCTAACTAGAGTTCTAGAATTACTCTTTACCAACGAATAATGGAATCATGGAGAGGGTGTAGAAAAGCATCAGAAATTATTCAGCTGCCTTACATATCTCAATTTGTTGCTTATCAAAGGGTATTTAAAAAGCCATTTAAATATAATACCCAAGTACTGAAATACCAATGATGTAACAGATATCTGGTGGGGTCTTCAGCTGAGCAAAGAAAGATATAATAAGAACATCTAGAAGGAGGTTTCAGCCAGACAAATTTGAAATGAAAATAAGGTACACATTTTTAACAATGAGAGTGATTAACTACAAGAAGAAACCACCAGGAAAATACGAAGATGTCCTGTTCTCAGATCCAGAGAGGATATCCTTCTCAAAGAAATGCTTTAAGCAAGTTATGACTAGATAGGAGTATGTTTGTCTACTTCATGATGAAATAATCGCTTGTTCTTAAATACTGTGCATGTCTAAGTAGAATGAGGGACTGCAGAGCCTATGAAAAGCAAGGTGGAATACATAGCTAAGAATGGGGAAGAGGGAAAAGAAGAAAACAGAGGAGAGAGAGCAACTGAAGGGCACGATATCATAAAGTTGACAACACATGCATGGGCAGTAGAAAATGAAAAGTAGATAGAGAAGAGGAATCATAGAATCATAGAATGTTTTGGATTTGAAGGGACCTAGTTCCAATCCCCCTGCCAGGGACACCTTCCACTGATGAGGTTGATCAAAGCCCCATCCAACCTGGTCACACCATTAAACAGAGAAAAGGAAATTACCTGGAAAAGAACTGAATATTTTAACCAAGATTGGAGATAAAAGGGAAACAAATAGAAAAAAGTAAGACAAAACACACACACACAGATTTTAGATTGGGGAATTAAATGTAATGCATGATGCTTGTATTTTATGTCAGTTCCCTGGCAGACATCCTGTATTCTCTAAGTATGAGGGAAATAAACCCTGCAGTATTTTCCCACTCCTAATTATGGGAGGTTTGTGGCTAGACAAATATCCTATATTTTACATAATTCACAGAACACCCACTTGAAAAATTATACTACCACTGTTTTTCAAATCACTCGTAAGCGGTGAGTAAGGAGACTAAGTAATTGTAGGTTAATATGCATTCAGCAAATTTTGCTCTAATTACTGAGCTTCTTATGCTTTAGCTGAAACCATTCATAAAATTCTTCAGCCAGTAATTTCTCATCTGATAGTTACTTGAATTGTGAGCTGAAAAAAAAGCTAAAAAAATATGTACAAGGCCCAGATCCTTACTGCTGTGCATACTGATCTCATGTGCAAACCAGATGTAACTCAGAACAGGTATAAAAATGCAAGAAACGAAAGAATTGAATTCACAATTTACAAGTTATTTGTTGTTAATTACATAGTTACACAGGTGACGCAACACAATCTCTACATTTTTTACTTGAAAAATATCTAGTCTACAGGCGCCTGTTTGATAAGAACATCATTCAGTCAAGGATGAGATTGTATCCTGTGCCTTGTGCAGCTGATGGGACTGATTGTAAGATTGCCAGTCAGTAGAAAGTAAACTTCAAATTGATTGTTAAATTTGGAAAGTTCACAAATTTTTGTATGAAAGGTTATGTTTCTATGAATATTCCATCTAGCCATTAAAGCCAAAATTTTATATTTAGTAAAATGAAATATGTGAGGATTAAAAATTATTTAAAATTAAATTTTAATTTTAATATTTATAAATATATGTGAGAAGATATGACACTGAACATTACTTTCTCAGTTATCTCAGTATCGTTTATTTGTTTTGAAGGTCTCAGAATTCTGGTCTCATAGACCACTTCCCCATGAGTGAACCATTGCCCCCCTCCTTTTTGATATTCTTTGATGATAAGGATGCCTTTAGAAGATGTTTTTGCTTTTAATTTGGAAGTCCAAAATGTAGTTTGCTTTAGTATGTTCAAAATCGTCATACATACATACAGTACAGTGATGTACGGAGAACATGTCCATAGGACCCCTGTGCCACACATTTCCTTACAAACTATAATCCACCTCAGTGACTTCTTATTCTGACATTTTTTAAAGCAGACAAGCAACCTCTCTTGATTTTTTTTTCTCCTCAAGAAGATTATTTGATGAATGGATGCGATGATATATCCATGTTGCACTGTAATTCCAAATAGGAAGGTGCTATCATTTGGGGGAAGTAAAATGAGCATTTTAGAAACTGATTCATCACCAATGACAGAAAGTTCTCCAGCATGCATTTGAGATTATTACAAGATCAAAAGTATTTGTCCTTTCCATCATTTTTAGATAGGAGTCTTTGCTAAATTGTTGGAAATGCTAAGCAACTCGATTACTGCAGTTATTGCTAGACAGCAGTTAAGCCTGCTACTGAAAATGTTATTTATGGACTGGTTTGTACTCGAGTTGTATGTCCATCAGTCTTCTCCAAATAATTTTTGAACCTTTTGACTAGAGTTGACAAAGAGGTTGAGGTCTCAAAGCTAATAAATTTCAGCAAGTTCCTTGAAAACTGGCAGACAAGACGTTCTTGTTTGCTGAAAGGGGAAAAGGCTGTAGCCTGGTAACAAAAATATTTCAGCACTGAAGGAACAGAGAAGGTAAACAGAGGAAGAGGAAAAGAGAGAAATGTATGGGCTGTATTTGAGCCTTCTTTAAGTGTTCCCACCTTTTATCAAATTACAGTTATGAGACGCATACACATAGGAAAGCAGCTTTAAATAATCGCAGTCTTTACAGAGAAACTTTCTATCTAAAGTAGTGGCAAAATATGTTGAGATTGCCATGTACAGACTTCTTAGCCATTCACTTCAGTTTCTGATCAGAAAGGTGATGCAGAGGCTGAGACAGCTGTCCGACATTCCTAACCAGCACTCAGTTGTAGTCTAATGGAAATATAGAATATGCTGCATAAACCCAGCATTTTTAGCATTGAAGTGTAAATGGAACAAATGCATTTCCATTTCATGAAGAGTATTTTCACAGTATTCAGTGGACGGAAGCTAACAAGTTCACTCCAGATAGCACTGCGGTTACAGCTGAGGTAGCTGAAGCAGATAGCTGGCTTGTATCTGTTAGAATGGCTTATGTGCCTGGAAGCTTGTTTGCTTTTATTATCTCAGTTGATCTAGTAAAAGACATAGTCTGTCCTCACAAACCTTGCCTAGTTTAATTAGAAATCATTAGTGTAGTCCACATCACAGAATTCCATGAAATCCTGTGCAGAACAGTTGCAGCTAGCTCTCCACCCCTTGATGTGCTCTGCTGTACCCTAGATGGCTTGGTAGCTGGCAGAGCCCTTAGAACAGCCAGAAAAAAACCCCAAGCAATACAAACCTAAGATGTCAGGTTTAGGATTTTATTTGATATATATAATTGAACCAAGATCTTTGAATTTAAGGAAGAAACTGAAGATTGGAAACTAATGCCTGTGTCTTTCAGGTATAGAGCAGTTGCGTCCTGGAGCCGTGTTCAGGGAATTGGAATCCCTATGATCACTGCTATTGAAATTTTCTCCATTTGGCTTCTGTCCTTTATACTGGCTATTCCAGAAGCAATTGGTTTTGCTGTGGTACCTTTCAGGTACAAGGATGAAGGTTATGTTACCTGCATGCTCAATCCTACAAATAGTTTTATGTTGGTAAGTAATATTCATTCTTATTGTTTTGGAATTCAGAGTATATAGGTTAGGCAATTAAGATATTGGATTATAATATACTTTGTTCATCCATTAAAGTGCAAAATGTATTCTAATGGTGCAGAGAGGATCCTTCAATTACAGTGACCTGTCTCTACTTTCAGCTAGAGATATTAAATGGGACTTTAAACATTTTCATTTCTTCACTACTGAGGATTCTTAGTACAGTATTGTGCAATTCAGGCCTGCTTACAGTCAAGAGATGTACCAGGGTAGCCAGAGCCTTGGAAAGTATTGTTTCCAGGTATAACACCTTGAAGCTTGTAAATGTCAAAACCCATGTTTTACCATGATTAGTCATCTTTTTGCATGCAGTAGCCAGCTCTTTTGGCAGACAAAGAAAAGGGTGGGGCCATCCTCCAACTATAACTCTTCCTATTCTGTGTGCACTTACAAAATCAAACAAAGAATAATCCCTTTATTTACAAGAAATTACAACTACAAATCTGTCAGATTCACACCTCCAACCTAGGTAGCTTGGGATAGCTGTCATCTAGATATAGCAACTCAAGATCAAGAGAAGTACCTGAGACACACCAGCCTTCTTTGTCACATTTCATAGCCTTTATAGTACCACTGCAGCTTACCAGTTGCCAGTACTCACATTAGCTTGTTCAAAGCAAGTCAGGTGAGTAGTCACTACAGAATTAGTAGATCTATACGGTAAAGGAGGATAGTGATTTTTCTCCTGGCCCTACACTGAGAAAACAGGAAAGTGGTATCTTAATTTTTAATTTGTGAACCCAAAGAAGGGCCAGCCACCTTTCACCCAGTAATAAAAAAAGTTTTGTCTCAGAGAAGTCAGAGAGTGCATGGTCTTAAGTCTTCAGGGAAAGTCCCTATTTTTTTCTGGACTAGAATTTTTCATTATAGAGTGTAAGTTTCTCCTTTCTGAATATCTAGCACTTCTTGGATCAGAACAGGGCTTTGGCTAGGACAGGGAAGGATAGGGCAAAATGGAAGTAGGAAATTTAGAAAATGAAAAGTATGGATGATAAGTGTTTTTCAGAGGAACATCCCCAACTTTGGTAGGGTTACACAGACTGCAGGGATGGCAGAAACAACAAGAGACAACTGCAAGAGAAAACAAAAGGAACTCCCTAATGGAAATAATTAATGCAGACGGAGATAGAGTAGAATTGCCCAGAACTTCCTACATCTGCTTCTAAACTCTTCAGGCTATACAACTGTAGATACTTTCGTTACAAGAATATGATTTATGAAATGTGCACTGCAGCAAATTTCCCTTTTGTAATGGCTGTTTTTCCTCTACAAATGTGCCTGGACATTCTTCACTTCTTCTCTCCCTAAGAAAAAGAATAGTTTTCTCTTCCCTCTTCTCAAAACCTCTACAGTTCAGGTCTTCCATAGGCATACTAGCTTTAATTATTGTTCTTAATGTAGTAAGTATAATAGCTTGTTCTGTTTTATTAGCAAGAATTAGTATCTTTTACTTGCTCGGGACAATTCAAAAGCTCCAAATCTCCCCATACCAGGTTGATTTTCAAGGAAAGAAACCAGCACTTATGTCCAAGCTGAGAGTAAATGTTGGATGGGTCACTCAAAACAGTGTCATATTTCAAGGCATTGCAAGCAAGTGCAATCAGAACATTAAAATGGAAATACCACTTTAACCTTAACTATAGTATTTACTACCACAAACACCACAATAAACAATTGCTAAACTTTGGGAAGGATTTATGATTAACTTTTTTTTTTTTTAAATAGGAGCTTTATCCATGTTTAAAGCTATCCTTGAAAGACTTAAAAGATTCATGCTAGACCATGATTCCCAAGAGGATGAGTGCACTAGGAAACTTGTTTAAAATGCACATTTCCTGTAGAAAATCAGTTCCATGTGGGCTTTCAAGACAAACAAAAGAATGTCTACTTCTCTTAAATCAACCCAATTTCATGCTTTGATGTAAGCTTTGTGAAACTCAGATTCCAGAATTAATCATTTACAGACATTTTCATTTAGGTTTTATACAGAGTACACATTTTGTTGTGCTGCCCAACCAACATGATTCTAGGCTGACTTAGAGGAATCTGCCATGGAAAAGATAATTGTCTCCATGTATTTGTAATCCTTTTCTCTGCAGAAGGAGTTGTAATTAGATCTCCCCTCAGTACAAACTCTTCAAATATGAGGCATATTGTTTTCTGGTTTTCTCCTGGCAGAACCTCTGTTCCCACTGGGGAAAATTCTGCCCTCAAGGAGAGTGCAACTATGCAGCAGACTGTAACCCCTCCTCACACAGTGATGAGGCTAATGAGGAGGAGGAAACAAGCTAATCAAGACAATTCAGAATGTCCTGAATTCAAGGGTTTTGGCCTAGTACTAGCAGCATACTCTAAATTAGCAAGCCCTGTAAACAGCTGTGTTGGGGCAGATGGAAAAAAATCAAAAGCCTTCCCTTTTTCTAGTAAATCAACCTCCTAGTGTAACTAAAGCAGATTTAAAAATTAATGTTATTAAATATTAGCCTATTAATTGCATCCACTTTTTTAATCTTTCAGAGTACCATTCAGCTTTAAATGTAAACAAGATGTCAAAAGCTTGGCTTTTACAAACAGGATTCATATAATCCTCACTTACTAGCATTTTGACATGTGGTGTGGGAACTGTGATGTTACAAGAGCACATCCGCTAGGAATAAACAAGCTAAGGGAAAGATTATGAGAAAGAAGGGTCCCTTTTACACACATCCATCTCAGTGACTAATAACATAGAGACAGGAAATATTTAAAATGTCATATTTCAGTGCACACTTTTGTCTAAGCATAAAAGTTAAAAACCAAGATACTGTATTTTCTCAAGCCTAAAAATATAATCATTTACAGGAAAGAGTAATTTTAAATGTTTCATTAAATGTAGTATTTCCTATAATACATGAATGTACTAACTTGAACAACATCTTAAATCACAACTAACATTTCGAATTACACAGCAAAGTACTGCTACTTTATCAAGTCCCCTGGTGTCCTGTCGCAAAAGGCAAATGGTATGAATGGCAGGCAAAGGGTTAAAAGTAACTGTACCACTAGAAGCCACCCATCCTAAGCTTTGCATATATCGGAAAACACTTATGAACTGGCTCCTATCTGCCCAGTACATAAGCAAACCAACAACCAATCTTTTCACTGATAACAAAAGGTGATTAAACCTACAAGACATTTTGAATTTTCCTTTTTTGGAATCAGGACAGAAGCCATAGAGGTAAATGGCATTTCCTGAGACAGGCTTTTAATAAGATTTGTTATCTCAAACTGACACTTTATGTTTTGGCATGTCTTTTTCATGAAACTGGATTCATGAAACTGGAGTGTAAATGTTCAGAACACACAACCAAAAATTAATTCCAACCCATTACAGATTGCAACGAAGGTTGCAAGGCAGGCTATCTGTGAGGTAAAATAAATGTTCACACTGCCACAATTCCCAGTTGTTGGTTCAAAACAGATACAGTAAGAAATGTTACATAATTTGTGGTGTTTACCCACAGAACAGCGTACCCACTGTCATTCTTTCCAAGACCCTTCTGCGGTACTATCCATTGAATCATAAGAAAATATGTTCTCTTTTCTTTACCTTATCTACAGTTTTACAAAGACGCAAAGGATTGGTGGCTGTTTGGTTTCTATTTCTGCATGCCGCTGGCATGTACTGCCATCTTTTATACACTAATGACTTGTGAAATGTTAAACAGAAGAAACAGCAACTTGAGAATTGCTCTCAGTGAACACCTTAAGCAGGTAAATATCAGGGATCCCAATGTTTGAAAACACTGTTCTCTCTTTGGGTTAGTTTAGAAATGGTTCAAAGTGAATTTGAATACAGTAACTTACAGAAAGTGAGGATGTAGGTTATTTCTGATGTTAAGCTATTTATTTAAACCCAAAACACAAGACTAAATCATAGTATAAGGAGGTACTGCAGACCACATGCTTGGGAAACTAGCCAGTTTCTTTTCTTAAGAATGTATGACAATTGTGCTCTCCTGCACTTTAACCTCAAATTACTACTGGCTAAATGCTTTGAAATTTAACTACAAAGATTTGCCAAAAAAAGATGTTTCTTTTTATTCAAAAAGATATGACTCCATGGGTCCTCCCTCCTTTTGTCACACATCGATATGCAACTTTAGTTTCATATAAAAAGCAATTGTTGAATAACCTGGTTTAAAACAGAGTGGATTTTTTTTTG